AGCTAAGACGCTTTTGTTGAGGCAGTAACTCGTAATGCCAGGCAGGAGAAAGAAAGTAACAGAGGGTAACAGAGAGTAACAGAGAGAGGAAAGGGTAGCAAAGAATGGTATATAAAAAAAGAAAGGAGAGTAGCAAGAAGAAGAGAGAGAGGAAAGAGGTAAAGAATGGTATATAAAAAAAAAGAAAGGAGAGTAGAAGAAAGAGAGGAGAAGATAGATAGAGATTTAATACTTCATTCCTCTCCCAGGGTATGGGGGATGTCAGACGCGTCGGTTAGTTTGTTGCACTTGTTCTTAGCCGCGTACAGTGGGGAAACTTTTATTCAGAATTTCATATTGCCTTATTTTCTTTTTTATCTAAAATTCCATAAAATTTCTATTAACTTAATATTTTTCCCCAAACCGCCCTAGAAACAAATACCGTATGACATGACTTTGCCATGAAAAGATTTCTGTCTTATAAACTCATTTTATCATTTAGAAATTCAATCGAAAACTAAATTTTATATATTATGTAGAATATTTGGTTATATAAAATGTTTTACCTAATTTCATTTGTATATTTTTGTGTTTGAGAAGCTAGAACTTGATTTATGTCTTATTATAAAATTTACCAGCTGTATACCAAATTTTATCTTTCTTCTTAAAATATCTATATCGTCAATCGTCTTATCATCATCAAGTTTTCCTTTCCAAGTTAAATACAGTCGCCTGCACTTATACCTGGTACAGTGGCTGGCACGTTTTGTGAGACGTGGCAACTCTGTGAATACTTATCTATCATCTTTAGTCTCTCCACTATTGCGAGGTTCCTTGGGCAATTCCGGGAGTTTAGATGGGATGTAAACAAACAGAGATACCACGTCTCACAAAACGTATCAGCCACTGTACCAGGTATAAGTGCAGGCGACTGTACATCGAGACCTTTACACTGACACTGAACTATTTAGGCAGCACCTCATATACCTTTTTAACAACCTAGAATTTTCCTTGATTCTTCACTATGTAGTCGTTATCTAATGAAAATAACTTCCTTAAAAGATCAAACCATCGTTCTTAAGAGATCAAACATTTTTTAAAGGATCAAACATTGTTCTCAAGGATCAAACAATGTTCTCAATGGATCAAACATCGTTCTCAAGGATCAAACATTGTTCTCAAAGGATCAAATATTGTTCTCAAAGGATCAAATCATCGTTCTCAAGGATCAAACATTGTTCTCAAAGGATCAAACAATGTTCTCAATGGATCAAACATCGTTCTCAAAGGATCAAACATTGTTCTCAAAGGATCAAATATTGTTCTCAAAGGATCAAATCATCGTTCTCAAAGGATCAAACATCGTTCTCAAAGGATCAAACATTGTTCTCAAAGGATCAAATCATCGTTCTCAAAGGATCAAACATCGTTCTCAAAGGATCAAACATTGTTCTCAAAGGATCAAACATTGTTCTCAAAGGATCAAGTTCTCAAGGATCAAATATTGTTCTCGAAGGATCAAACATCGTTCTCAAAGGATCAAATATTGTTCTCAAAGGATCAAATCATCGTTCTCAAAGGATCAAACATCGTTCTCAAAGGATCAAATATTGTTCTCAAAGGATCAAACCTTGTTCTCAAAAGATCAAACATCGTTCTCAAAGGATCAAGCATTGTTCTCAAAGGATCAAACCTTGTTCTAAAGGATGAAACATTGTTCTCAAAGGATCAAACCTTGTTCTCAAAAGATCAAACATTGTTCTCAAAGGATCAATCATTGTTCTCAAAAGATCAAACATTGTTCTCAAAAAGATCAAACATTGTTCTCAAAGGATCAATCATTGTTCTCAAAGGATCAAACATGATTCTCAATGGATCAAATCATCGTTCTCAGAGGGTAAATTGTTGCTCAAGTCCCTTTCCTTCTTTCCTAAATCCCAGTACGGTATTAAGTTTTGCTTCTAGATGTCATTAAACTATATTTTTCACGCAATACAAAGTAAATTTTATATGATTTAGCGATAAGCTGTGAAATTCGCCGTAATGCTGAAAGTGAAACGCCGAGATCAGTGCTGGTCCCATATGCTGTATCGATTTTTTTGTTTAAGTATTCTTTGTGACTATGTGGAGCTGTAAGAATGCACTTGATTGATTGGTTGATTATAATTAGCGCTAAAATTAAAGCAAGAAAACAGTATCAAAATCATAATGAGACTACCTTTTCTCTGTGTTTTTCATGTAGTAACTCTGTATAGTATAAGTAGTAACAGAGAATAATTTTAATGCTACATTTGTTCACTAGCATTTAAGTTTTAGCTGTAAGTCTTTCAGTTAGATACATTCTTACATTTTGAAATAATTAAGACGAATATTTATCGCATGAACCTCTGAGATTGAGTATATAATAGCATAAACTTACCGAGCGAACTTTTTTTGTTACATACTTCTTAAATGTCAACGTTTGTCTGTTTCCTCTCACATTTCCTCCAGGAATAATTCTGAAAGTACTAGATGTGTACAGAATTCCTTGATTTTTGTTGTTACAGTCTATGAAAGTTACTTATCCTAAACATAGGTTTGCATTCCATAATATTCTAAATATAAATATAATCTTTATCACGAACGCTGTGGCGACGTGCGTTCGAAAGTTCCATGCGATTCTACCTGCAGTTAAAAGCATAGCGAACATGGTTAAACATAGTTATGTGGCTTAAATGATGGAGTATAGACCAATGTTGGAAAGTGTTACCTCCAGGTCTTTATGACTCAAATATCAAGGATTTTGTAAACACTCCGGCACATCTTTACATACGTCGCTGTTGAAGCTTCCATAAAGACGACTTCTATTGCTAAAAGTGGTTTTATAATTTCATTGTTTAAGGTCAACAAGAAGATAATATATTATCGAGGCAATACTATATAAATTACATCAATTTTATTAAAAGATTCTCATGGAAAGGATATATTTAGGTCGATACTCTAGTAAACCATTATTAAGGAATAAGCGAATGTTTTGTAGATGCTCTGAAGTAGGCTATATTTTACGCTGTGCAAATCCAATTGTTTTTATAGTTAGGCCGGAGAATCAAAACCGATAATGATCGTTAAGTGTGTAATAAGGAAAGGCTAGTTGACGTAAAATTCAACTTCACCTTCTAGCTGGTTTCAAATTGCCAGCAATTCGAGATTTCTAAAGTCGGATCCTCTTTGAGACACTTAATATAGTTGTATTGCAGATATTAACTTGGAGGTCATTTGCTACTGTGATTAGGATGTTTATGCTTTGCATAAATATTAAAAGGGTTGCAAAGGCAGAGATGTCTTTCATTGTTCGTTGAAAGACCGCACGCCTGGCAACGAAAGCACATTGTACCATTTCTGTGAACACGCGACTGTCACTGCGATACCAATCAGTGTTTTATACTTTCACTCTCCTATTTCATATAATTATTTAGTTCCTAAGTTTCCCACTAGGTATTTGTAGAGTAGAACATGATTCGCGCACTGTGGTAAACATCCGGCTGAGTTGCGCACTTAAGAGTTGGTCTGGTGGGCTGTTGCATCTGCTTTTCCCGAAGGCGCGTTGATTCCAGGAAAGCTCTTCAGTACTACCAAGTGTCTTTCCTAAACCTTGGTTATATTCTCCTAAAACTACTGGGATTTCTCAATAAGATATCATATAATCCACAAAAATCATAAATTATTATTTTTTCAGCAAATGACATCTGTTTGGTTTTCATATCATTTGTAGAATATATGACCAATCATGTGGTACCTAAAGTGACTGGCAATAGTGAATGTATTGCAGTAGACATGTTGATATTCCCGGGATGGAGGTGTGATACTGAGGCTCTTCTAAAATAACAAGTAGGTCCATTAACATGAACTGAAATACGGAATAAATTCAAGAATACTTTATCTAAACACTAGAAAATGATAGGATACACAAATTACAGGAATTGAAGGTAAGATACATTTCCATACATTAACGCCTACTTGTGCACTATTGCTGGTGGTTCAGTTATTGTGTTCGCACATTTAGGTTTTGCAATAATTGTTAATGCCGTAAGATGTCGGTAAAGTTAATGGATTAATTGTTGCTGGAATAAAATGCTAATACAAAGTGTCAACTGTTTCACGTATTGAGTAAGATTGTCTAATTGATTAGTGGCGGTACTCAGTTAGATTACTTGCGAAACTAATGATGAATGTTGAAACAAGTTTTATGTGTGTAGACACAATTATGTTTTACTAGAGTATTTACGCGCTCATGTACACACATGCATATAGATAATCTCTCTCTTCTCTCTCTATATATATATATATATATATATATATATATATATATATATATATATATATATATATATATATATATATATATATAACCCATACATCACAAGCTCGTTTCACTTGTCGTTGATGCTTCTCAAACAAGAATATTTAGTCTTCTTAAATTTAACAACATTTGTTTTCAGTTTTTAATATCCATTGGGAATTAGTAAACTTTATGCGTAACTACAAATTTGATATGTTTACAAACCAAGCTTTATTGCCGTCGTTGTCGAGAATAAACCAAAAAAATACTTTATTAAGTAAAGTTGGGATTTGTTACTTGATCACCTTAATAAATAAACCCTTATATAGGTCGTCAATGTACTTTTATAGCCGACATGATTTTCAAAGCTGGTCAAAAGGCTGAAGGAATACTAGGAAACTCTGTATAGGAGCTCCAAGACATGCGCCCGAACCCGACAGCAACAGTGCGCTAATGCCAACTCACAGATTTCACCTTATTTAACTGTAATATTTATATTGACACTTACACTAATTAAATTATATATAAAAAAGTAATATTGTTCGAAACTATCTTGTAAATGTTTATTGAGCCATTAATATTAAATAGTATAGATGTGCGCACGAAACATGGCACTGCAGGAGTCACGTGACCAAGTGCCTCCCAATATATGGTAAAGTTTCCACGAAATGTGGTGTGTTTTGATGAATCGATTCTGAGAACATTTCTACTGGGAAACAATAATTGTCTCTGAGATATCGCTGTGACAGCATCCACCACTGCAAGCTTCCTTCGTAGATCACAACAGGTAGGTGTTAGGGTTAAAGGCGTAAGGCGGTGAAATGGGCGTGAAGTGTTGGGCGTGAGGGTGGCGAGCCGAGTGCAGCGTCCATGACTAGTGTAGAAGACAAATAAACAAGAGTGAGGTAGCTTGATCCTCCTTCACACTGACAATCCACCATCGGGGCGCCGTCTTCACGCTCATCAACCTCCACTTTCTTAGTAAGTGCGTGAGTGCCATGTGCTTGCAAGCTGACATGTTTGACACATTGAGCCATTCAATGTGACCTTGTATACCAAACTTAAACGTCCTGATATTGACGTAAATGATTTATATATCAGGATGTGATTTAGTAACTGTTTTCCTAGAAGACAACAGTTGGTGGTGTGTTATTGTGACTTAGTGTACTCCAAGAGATGTTAAACTTTTCTAGTGTAGAAATTACCTAGATTTGGAAGGCTTGTGTATATATTGCCATTCATAACCGTACATTGGCAACTTATGGTTCTATACAATAATAACTGAATGAGAATTGTCTATACTGTATTAAGAAACGAGTTGAAAAGGACTGTTATATATTTAGGAGCAGCAAAAGCTAAAATGTAATACTACGGCTGCATATTAAAAGTTTCATGGATATTGCTACCAGAAAATCTTTGATAGGCAAACCTTGACTGTGTAAGAAACTTTCAAGGTGGCTGAGGTTTGTGGTTAATGGAAATTGGGTAGTTGTAGAATAAGGGCACTACCTAGGTATTATAGTGAAGGTCATCCAGCGGATTTCAAGTTTAGGTTAGGGTTAGGTTAGGTGGTAAATTCCAAAAGCAGAAACCACAATTCATTTTAATTGCCAAAAGAACGCTTTTGATTGGCCGCATGACATGTACTGGGACACATGTGCATGATGATTTATGAAGAGAACATGAGGGAGGTCGTAGGCGATAATGGAATTAAATAGAGAAAGATTTGGCATGCTCTATCTCCGTATTATACTTTCTCGACGGTAATGTAAAAGAGGAAAATTAACTTAAATTAGACGTCCTTCTAATATGATAATAGAATTGGGGTAAGAATGTTGTGTGAACTACTATAAAAATACCAGTTAGGTTTTAAATTACAAAGACTGAGAGAGAGTTTATGTACACAGGGTGACCTTACAAAACATGAGGTCAGGTGACATCCATTAATCCGACATCAACCACACAGCAAACATAAGAAGAGTTTATAAGAGCGGGCGACATAACTAGTCATGTCACGTCAGGTAAAAAATATGAGACCCACTAATCTTCTATCATACAACTCAGAATTAAACAGCATACAATATTAGAACAACATCTGAAAGCAGTGCACTTTTCGTTCATATAAGGAACAATAATCATCCCATAGATTGGGAAAACAGTTTAGAAGTGTATAAATCATCATGGTCACAGAAAGACTTCTAGTTGAAGCAAGTTTGATTAGAGAAATGTATTCTTTAAACCTAAGTGATGGTCAGTACAAAACTGATAATATGTTACACAAATTTTGTCAGTGGCCCTGGTTAAAAATGCTTTGAAAGCATGTAAGGTAGATGTATGATAGATGATTAGTGGGTCCCATATTTTTTACCTGATGACATGACTACAGGGAGGCTATAACTAACGAATTGGTTCCAGAACCTCGTCATATAGCATTCGCTCATATAGGATTAATCCGTTCCAGGCCCCCAAATACAACCACTTAACACTGAAAAAATTCTGAAATGTAAAAAGGTATTTTATCTTACCTTAGTGTTATTCAGCATGCAGGTTCAAACACTCACAGCACTATCACTTCCACTGGGAGTCTTGGCTTTAAGGTCCTCAAACAATTGTTTAGCCTTCTCACAAATTATAGCTTCACTAATGTTACCACCTGCCATTTTCTCCTATCCACACTAAGAGTAAATTTTCTATCTCTTCAATCACATTACACCTTGCTTTGCTAAGTCTAAAGATTCCTTAGCCACTTGCACAGTTTTAACTCCTCTTTATTCTTCAAATCGTACATATAGTCGATTTAGCCATCCCATACATCACTAAGTTTCAAATGCTTCCATTCTCACGCTTTTATAATTTCTTAATTAGTTTCAAGGGTTATTAGCTTTCTACTCGCTGGACAATTCATTGTTACAATTGTATACATGTATAACAAATAGTTATACAAATAATGTGAATTTCACATCAAAAGACGAAATTTCAACAATAACAGTGGTGCACTTACTAATGAGACAAAGATGCGCCTTGACGCTCTTGTTGTGGATGCGCACAATATTCATGCGCCCAGGCAATAGTCCCGTATTCATCCAAGATCTGTAGGAGTTGGCGTTCAATAGCATTCTCAATTTTGTAGGTAAAACCGTTCGTTATAGGAATATTCAGTAGGATCCGTTCGTTATAGCATACCCCACTGTAGTTATGTCGCCTGCTCTTATTATCTCTTCTTATGTTTGTGTGTGGTTGGTGTGTGGATTAATGGATGTCATGTTTTTGACCTGACCTCATGTTTTGTAAGGTCACCCTGTGTACATCAACTCTCTCAGTCTTTGTAATTCAGTTGCCTCTGAAGATGTCTTGAATAAAGACGAAGCTAAGGTTCTCCATTGTTTCTTTTCCCTGTGTGATTTTATCGAGATTTATCTTATCCACGCTTCCATTGTGGATCTACATGAATTATATATATACAGGGCTGCCTCACTTATCGCAGCGTTACAGGCATGAACTCGTTAATATCTAAATTATATTGACAATTTCTCCCATAAGAAATACAGTGGGGTATGCTATAACTAACGGATCCTACTACTAATATTCCTATAATGAACGGTTTTACCTATAAAATTGAGAATGCTATAATCAATCTAAACTCCACAACTAACATTATTTAAATTTTTTTTTTTTTTTTTAATTTATTGTTTTTTATTACAAATATTAATGATATTTTATTTCGGGTTTAGATGCATATTTATGCACATTTTACAATTTTATATTATATTTTTCAGTGTTAAGTTGTATTTGGGGCTGGAACGGATTAATCCTATAGAATTCAACTAATGCTATAATGAACAAGGTTCTAGAACCAATTAGATTCATAGCATACCCCACTGTAATGTGAATAGGGGATACTGGCATCGCTGTGGTCACAGCGCCAGAGTTTAACACTTGTTTTACTCAATATATATAGAACATAAAATAGATAAAGAAACAAGGTAACATCAACATCTATCAATAACAAACACTTTGAGTTTATTTGGCATATATGTTTACAAGTACAGTATATTTACATGTTTGAGTGTGTGAGACGGTGAGTGTTTGAATGTTTGCGTGAGGTGTGTGAGGTAAGTTTTAAACGAGACTGTTAATTTTCTCTCTTATGTGCTGTGTTGCTTGCTTGCTTGGCGGCATTAGGGGAGAGGGGAAGGTTTATTGGGGTGAGAGGTAGGCTCTGAGCCACCCTCACTCTCACTGCCAGGGTCCTCAGCCACCTCACTTCCCTCACTGCCAGGGTCGGCAGCCACCTCACCTCATTTCAGCTGTCAATTTGCACTGAAAACTGTTGTTCTCCACTGGTTGAAGGCTGTGGTTCATTTGTTGAAGGCTGTGGTTCACTTGTTGAAGGCTGTGGTTCACTTGTTGAAGGCTGTGGTTCACTTGTTGAAGGCTGTGGTTCACTTGTTGAAGGCTGTGGTTCACTTGTTGAAGGCTGTGGTTCACTTGTTGAAGGCTGTGTCATTCGTTTGAAGGCTGTGGTCTTGAACAGCTGTCAAAAGCTGTGTTCTGTTTGGATGTACATGGGGTGGTTGTGCACCGGGCTTGATGGTTTGGCTGTGATAAATGCATCAAGTCTGTTTATTCTTCCTTTCTCCTCAACCACCTCGTAGTATGCTTGTATGTCTTTCTTGACATTGTGGATGATAGTGCAACTTCGGTCAACATTAGGGTCCATTTCTAATGCTATATCCATCGCCATCTCAAATGAAGAAATCAGCTTCCTTAGGTTCCGTATACAGCTAGGAGTTGTGTTGGAGTTTCATCTGCATCTCCTCCTGTTGCAAGTGGCATTTTCCCGCTGAAGCTCACCAGTTCTATCAGGTCTTCATTGGTAGTTTTTCATTGTAGAGTCGAGGAGGTCTTCAGCAGGCCATCCACTTCATCGAATCCAGCCTTTTTTGCAAGAGTCGCAATAGTCTTCCTTATTGCAGGCACTGAAGGAAACCAACGGTTGTGCACACACTTGGGCCACAGCTTATGCCACACCGTTCTTGTTCTGTTTGTGTTCTCATGAATCACTGATGTTTTCTTATGGTTTTGGTGTTATAGTGTTTTTCCAAAACTCCTGAATTGTAGGTTTCTTCCATCGGTCCCCTCACAGCTGCTCCATGATACTCTGAGTGTAAGGCGCCGATTGTAGAGATGATGTCATTCCATGGGTTGGCAGCTGCTGTTGGGAGGCAAAACACAACTTTAATGTTTTTAACCAGTCAACCATAGCTGGTGGATGACCTGCGCTGGTCGATCACCATCAGAGCTTTTTGCATCAAAATTATTTTATTATATGACAGTTTAATCGGACACATAGTTGAGCATGTAATGGCAGATCACAGACCCTGTCACCCACGCCTACGGTTTGAACGCCAGATGACAGGAAGTTGTCCTTCACAACCCCTCAGAACATGGGGTGTTTTCAGACCACACAAGAAGAGGCTTTAACTTCAGGTCACCTCAGCATTCCCACCAATCAATAGAGTGAGGCGGTCTTGGCAACTTTGAACTCGTGCGGTTTTTTCCTCCTTAGATATGTAGGTTGGTGAAGGCATTTTCACAGAAGAGTCCGTCTCATTCAGTTAAACTTGCTTAGGACTGTACCCACCCTCCTTAATTATGGCTGCGAAAACGGTGGGGAACTCTCTGCTGCTTCATGGTCGGCGCCGCTGATTCTTCTTGTATTTTTAGGTTGTGGATTGATATCCGTTTCAGAATCTATCAAACCATCCATGGCTGGCACTGAACTCG